CGGTTTCATAAAAGTCTCCTCAACCAGAAAAATATATTTCTAGATATCGTTATCCAGTTATCCAGTTTACAATTTCATTCTTTGGATGATCATTTGGAATTGGAGTGGATCCAAAGTATTTGAAGTCAAGTATTCTTCAACCGGCAATGAATTGATGAAAATATGTATTTTATCAGCATTGTATTGTATATAAGACGAAAAGTCTTTCATTTTATTTGCATTGATCCTTAGTCCGATTCTTGCTGCATTTGCTAACACGTCATTTAGCATTTATTTACTTTCATTATAACTGTCAGCAAAAAAGACTACATTATCAGCATATTCAAGGTCTGTGATACTATGCTCTGGACTGATTTTCACATCTCTTGAATACCGACAAGTGATGCCCATTATAGTCTATCGCGCAATTGAATATTGTAGGGGAAAGGACGGACATGCGTTCTTATTTCGAAGAAATCTGACCGTTTTCTATATTCAGACATGTACCAGGGTATGTCTTTATGAACCGAATGATCTTCCTGTCACATTTCATCAATTTCCAGAATGCTGCTCTATAATTTTATATATTGCTATTAAATGTTTACTAATTACGTTATATGTATGCTTTTCATGCCAGTTGTTGTTTAGATTTATATTTTTCATGAAAGACCTCATGGAAAGATTTAAATTTTAATTTGTTAAATATAATGTTATCCACGCTGATTCTAAATGCTCCAGTCTTCTACCAGATTTTGACAATTATAAACCTCTTCCTCAGATCTTCGATTCAATTGATTTCGATTTTTATCGTACGATGATCGTTAAAAGATCGCCTAGAATTTTAAAACTATTACTTAAGAAATTTCCGAGTTCTTCATTGTTTAAAATTATTCGTTTGACATCATTTAGAAGATAGCTGGATGTCTTAGTTATTCATCGAGAATCCATCCAGTCCATCCATCGAGCTTCTAATTCGGACCCACGAAAAAAATTTTATGATCTTAGCTTCCCACCAGCTATAATTTTAAATTATTATAGAATTATATAAAGTCGACCATATTAAACATTTTAGTTTTGTTTTCATTCATTTATTTATGAACAAACAAGGAAGACGACAGTCGCCATGTGCTTGCATTAACAACAACAAATGTGGTGCCAAATGAAAATAGCAATATTGATGATACTGAAAAATTTATTTCTTGAGCGGTCGTTTCTATTGTGTTTTTTCTGGAAATTTAAAATTTTTTGCAGTCGAACTAAGTTCTTTTGAATTTTGAAACAAAGGATTAAAAATAAATTAAAAATTAAATTATATATATACATAATGAGCACAAAGACTAGCATAGGACCAGACTTATCTTAATAGGCGTGCGAAAAGCCGATTCTCTCGGTGTTTCTGATGGTCGTCTTTGGGCAACATACATAAAATTTCAGCGAAATAGAAATAACAAATAACTATATAAATAATAATTTCATTTAATTTAATTAATTTAATTTCATTTTTTAGATAAGTTCTGCTTTTTTCCAATTATTTTTTTTTGTTTTCTCTTTTATTTTCTCCTTTCTTAATCTTATTTCCTTGACATAAATCCGGGAATAAGCTCGTGTGGCTATTAGCATCCATTACCATGTAGAGAAACAAGGTTTTATAGCACTACGAAATTTTCGTTGGGAGCACAGCGATTCCCCTTCCAATATTCTTTAATTACCTTTAATTCCTTTTCGGAATTCGCTCCACTATCCTTTTTCTGTACTAATTTATTTCTTTCCTACCACGCGGTGCTTTTATTTCTTATTAATATTATAAAACTCCGCGACCAGCGTTCTACTTTCTACTTCTTACTTTTCTCGTTGCGAACCTCAAACTTGGGTAATTAAAAGCGAAGTAATTGCCCTACTATAAAGAATTAATACGGTCAAAAAATCAAATATAAAATCTAAATGCCCATCACTTACCGACCGATCCCCCACTCTTTTGCTCTAATAAAAGTACAAAATGATCAAAATTGATCTTTTGGGAGCTTATATTTAAAATGGGCGTGAATCTGGATGATTTGCTCAAATTTACAGCTTTTTTCGCTTTCGGCGACATTACCCCCTGACAATCTGGTATATATATAAGCACTGCAATTAGTAAGTATCCTTATCATTTTCCATCTGGGCTTAATAAGATAATGATCTCGACTATTCTTAAGAATTGACGCATTTATAAATTCTTCTTTATTATTAAAATATGCGTCTTCCTTGAGACCATTATAAAAATTAAAATTGAAAACTTGTCCACGCACACCTTTGATACAAAGGAAAGTCGCTACAATAATAATAAAGAACCTGACTTGTTTAAGTGATGGTTCTCTCTTTTGCACAACTGCATGTAGAGTTTTTTATTTAATATGGGACTTAACACATCTGGGAATCTCTCTGTTCCTTAAGACCATCACATCCTGATACTCTAATGGTGTGTTTGGGTGTGTAGAGCGTTCCTTAGAGATGGGTTCCTCTTCCTCCTCCGTAATTTCTAGTGGGATACTTGTCTAATTAATTCTTTACCATTGGCCAACTTAATTTTTACCGATCTTATCTTGTGGGGACTTAGAGTTTTTCCCTGAAGCTCATCATTTACTTCGACGATTCTAGCCAACTGCCAGATCTCTCTATCTTTGTTCTCCTCACATAGTAACACGACTTCATTTACTTTTGGGATTCTATTCACACTCGAATGGGGACTGCGATGCTGACGACTAACCCTTTCCCGAAGTAGGTTGATATAATTATGCCATCACACTTCCCAAAATCTTTGGAGTCACCAACTATGATTCTGTCAGATCAGATAAACGGCACGAATTTCGGGTGCTGAATTCGGAAGCAGCTGAAATACTCAGCTCCCAACTGGTGGAAAGGAGCGTAGATTGGAAATTTATAACCCCACATGCGCCCTGGCAAGGAGGAGTTTATGAAAGAATGATTGGTATAACGAAAATGGCCATGAGGAAAATGGTAGACAGAAAATTGCTACATGAAGAAGAATTGAGAACGCTTTTAGTAGAAGTGGAAAATATTGTTAATTTGAGACCATTAACATATGTCACGGATGAACCTTGCGAAATTATCCGTCCTATTGATTTGATTTGTTCAGGAATGCAGGGAATAAGAAACCACTTACTACTGAATAAGGATGAGGATGAAGACTATGGCCGATCGGAAAGTTATAGCTAAGATGTACTCTTAAAAGGTTGGAAAGAATCTGAAAAATTATTCCAAAGATTTTGGGAACTCCACCTGGCTTAGAACCCACGAAGTATGTGGATGAAGGCAGCTGCTGATAAATCCCAGACCATTTCTGAATAAATAACTCTAGTTGTCAAGTAAGTGATGAGGATTGCCCATCTCTTAACGATCGTGGTTTCTATCCGAACATTAAAAGGTCCAAAAAGATCTAACTCGACTGATTTAAAGGGTCATTCTTGCTGAATTCTGTAAACAGGCAAATTGGGCATGTCTGGTAGCTCATGCAATTTCTCCTTATTGCATTTCTTACAGTCTGTCTATCCTTCGAAATCCAATATTCTTGCCGTAGTAGTGCCAGCCTGTATGCAGTACCACAGTGACCATGATTGTGTGAAGACGTAAGATAATGAGTTCACTGACTCTGTTCTATCTAGGAAGGAATATTACATTATTGGGAATACGACCTTTACATCTGTAGATATCATTCTCGTCCTGATAAAGCTCCCATTTTAATACATCTTCTGAGGTTATTCCTTCCGACTGAGATTGACGAATTGACCATGTTTTTGCCAGAGGTTCATATTCGAGCTCCTGTGCCTGATATGGGCTAACCTTCGAATTATCTCTGATGTTTTTACTACAAATTTTATTACGCATACGATTGTTCCGACTAATTTCGGCCAATTACTGAGACGAGATGTATCATCACCTTTATCCTTTCAATCTCTTCAATGGTTTTAACTTGCTTTCCTGAGAAAGTTTGATGGTTTGGTGGATGATTTCATTGTGGGGTTCCTTTGGCCAATTTTCTTGACTATTGCTCAGCCATTCAGGCCACCCTGCCACCACAACGGACAAAGTTTTAATTTCCTCGTAGACATTCCCTTTGAAGCATTATCTGCGGGATTTTCTTTTGAGTGGACATAATGAATTGAAAAGTGTTGGTATCTTCTGATTTCTTCTAAATTTCTAAAGGAAATGATTTCTTCTAAGATTTTAGACAAATCTTTGCTGCTCTTTTTTTGTCGTTTTTGATCCAATCAATGACACCTCTGCTATCAGACCACAGATATTGTGGTGTTTCTACATGAACTCCAATTTGGCTAGTGATGAAATCGATGAGTCTGCAGCCGATAAGGACGGCCAGTAATTCTAATCTTGGAATGGAAGTATCTTTGAATGGTACCACTCTCGATTTCGTCATCAAAAATTTTACTTGACGATATTGTTTAATAACAATTATGTAGGCTACGGCGACGTAAGCTTTCTCTGATGCATCTACAAAGCAGTGAATCTCCTTTTTACATTCATTCTTTATGCACTCTATTGGTCGATCTATTTGTATTGACATCAGTTGCCATTCCTTTATTATATCTCGCCATTGTTGACCCTTTATTTCATCAAATTTCTGATCCCGCTTATATTTATCCGACCAAAGCCTTTGCAAGATCTTTATCGGAAGAGTGCATGGGATTAGAACTCCTAATGGGTCGAATATTAACGCAACGAATTGTATGTAATACTTGTCTTTTAGTACTACATTCCTGTGGAGATCTCTCAATGGACCATGTTAAACGATCCGTTTTTAAATTATAATCAATCCCTAAGATTTTTATTCGCCATCCGTTTCCAGTGTCCAGGGCTGCGGGGCTGAGATCGTTTTGAGGAATTCAGTGATTTACTTCATCACTATTAGTTGCAAATATCCTCAAGTTCATATGAGCTTTTTCAAAAATTTTCTTCAGTTCCTTATATGCTTTAAGCGTTCCTCATAGAATGTCAGAAAAACATTATCTACGTAAAGGTTTTTTAATACTTCTTTTGCAAATGTGCCATTGGATGTTTTGGACTGTGCTTGATGACTGCTGATATTAAAAAGGGAGTACACTTAAGCCGAAAGGCATGCGGGCAAATATATTTGTAGATTATTTCTCGATAGTGGTTTCTCCACATCTTTTAATCACAAAAATCTCGTCACATCTCTTTGGTCTTCGTTCACTGCCACTTAAAGGAAGGCCTTCTCTATGTCCGCCATTAGAATAAATTTTCCCAATCGCAGCCTTAAAATAATTCCAGCCAGATGTGGAATAGGAGTAGGGCCTTTATACAATTGATCTTTTAACGAATAACCTTTCCTACTAACCGCTGATGCATCAAACACTATTCTTAATTTTATACTCTGTTTATCAGGAGAGATAACCGGAAGATGTGGAATATAATATTTAAAGCACGGTGTTTCTGAAGGAACGGTTCGATTATCTTATCATATATCCTTAAATATTTGATCATATTGATATCTTAAGCTTGCATCTTTTAGCAGTTTATTCCAAGTGGATGTCAATCTACCAAAAGTAAGACCAAAATTTGACTCGATTTTAGGATCAGTACTTTTCCAAGGCCATGATATGGCATATCTTCCTTCCTCATTTCTTTTGATTGATTTTTCAAATTGTTCATATGATTCTTCATCATCCATCAAGTCAGTTGAGTCTGTCCTAGAGCCCAGAACTGCGACAGATCTTGTTCTGTCAATACCGTGAAGATTACGAAACTAGGATATGTTCTTTGTTGACCTTGTAACATCTGATTACAAGTTTTCCCAAATATTTTACCTAACCGTGAATCAATTATATATCAACCAGAATCCTTTCTCTCCTTCTTTACGCCTGATCTCATAAGGAAAAATAATAATCTGAGCCTATCAATATATCGGGTTTCGCCATTTTAGTTACACCTTCCGTTCTTGAAGATTGATATCCTTCCAACTGCATGTATTTTATTTGCAATGTCAACTGTGTCATCGTACTTGCCATTGTCTTGAATTTAGAGCCATCATGAAGTATTATTCCTACTCCTACTATCGAGGTATGGTACTTCTGGGGAATTTTTGATGCGAAGCTTGATACAGTAATTGTTCGTTGTTCTCTTGCTACAAGCTGCAACTTTTCTCGTAATGTTTCTGAAATATATGATTGTTAGCTTCCCGTGTCCAACAGAATTAAAGCTCGAATTTTCTTGCTTGGTTTCAGTGGATTTATGACGAATACTTTCCTGCAAGGGAGGAATACTTCGTTCACTATTGAATTTTCTCTTAAAAAATTGACACTGGTTAATGTCGTTTGTTCTTGATCCTGTTGGATTTTCTGTTGCCGCTCATCTCTCTTTTCCTGACATAATACGCTACTATGGTTCCTGGAGCAGTTCATACACTTTACTCTACTATAACAGTCGCTTGCCCTATGGCCTAGTTTTAAGCATCGAAAGCATCGTTGAAGCTTTCTTAGGAGCTGCAGCCTCTTTTCATAAGAGGCTATCTTTTTACATTGCTGATTCCAATGTTCTTTCTCACAAAATATACATTTCTTAATATTCCTCTTTACGGCTAATTTACTCGGTAACATGGTTGACTTGATACTTTCTGACTGCTCCATATCATGGCTATTTTCCTCTTTGAAATTATTTATAGTCTTGTGCTTTGGCAACTTTTCCTTATCACTGCTCCTTATCATTCTACTTAATAGGAGTTCTTCCTCTTCGCATGCTTTTATTAAATTCCTCAATTGCTTATATCCCATGTTGAGCATTTTTCTTTTTTCTTCTAGTACTCTTTTTACCACATGTATTGGCAATTTAGCTTGTGCCACGCTCAAAATCGAACTGTTGTTGATATCTTCTCCTAAAGATGTCAACTGGCGAAATATTCATTCCAAGTCCTTGCGAAAATATCCTTTATATCCTTTGTTTTTGGGTTAAATTTTCTTAATTCTTTATATAATTCTTAAATAATAATGGATTTTTCTCCATATCTGCTTTCCAGAATTTCCCATACATTCCTGTAAAATTCACCGTCCATAGGGAACCCTCCTATCGATTCCTTTGCTTCTCCTTTGAGATATATCTAAATTTATCCACTAGATCAAGACTTCTATTCCCAATGGTCGATAAAAAGTTATTCTTAAATGCGATTCAACTTCTTATTGATCCATCGGATTTCATCATTTGTAATTTCTGCAACTTTGTTAATGGTTGAAGATTCTGTGACTCCACTTCTGTCCTCTCCATTTTTATTGTGACTTATTGTCATTTAAATTTCTATTGCAACATCTAATTATGACGTCCAAATCTGAAGTTGCCTTACATGCCTGTTGAACGAGTCGCAAGTACACACTCGGGCTAGCTGCCATCAATTTGTATTCTTCTCTATGCATCTCTATTGGTATTTAGAGGGTCATTTATTAGTCCCATTCTTTTATCTCATTACTAACACATTGGGCCAATTGGCTGATATCTGAATTAAGCTGCTCTATTTCATCCAGCTGTGCAAGTTCGATTTGTGAATAGTTTAAATTTTAAAGGCCTTAGAACCTCTACTTTACTTAAGCATTCAATTAATTCCGTTGCATAGGGGTCAATTCTCAATTTCAATAACGAGATCATTTCAACAATGTTCGAGTTATAGCAAAACAAATTTTCAAATTTTCAAAAATAAATCAATGAACTTATAAATAATGGCAAAAATACACAAACTCTTATGAAAATTCAAAAAAATTTTCAAATCAAAAAAGTTTCTCTGAATATCGATCCTTGACTGTCGGTATTTCTTTTTCTTTTCTTAGTTATTCTTTCCTCGATAAAAATTATCCAAATGATATTGATCAATAATCGACCAATAATTGATTGATATTCTTACTTCAAAGTTCAATTCGAACAACGAGTCTTCCCGATTGATGCACCATGTACAGGAAATTTGTTTTGCTATGACCCGAACATTGTTTATAACTCTTTCGTGGTTCTGTAATGAAAGGATCTATTCTAATGCATATTGTGACTTTAACCTGGTGGTACATGTAATAAATATGCAATCAAGGCGCAGTAAAACGATGCCAAAGCTTGAGAATATGTTCTAGAACTAGTAATTGTTCGAAACCTGCCAAGAAAAATCTGGCTCTATGCACACGGCGAGGTATTAGTTTTCAGTTTTGAATGCTTATGGACGCTACTGTCGAGAATTTTCTCGAAACTATGAATCATTGTTTATAAAAATCAAAAGGTCACCCTCTCTTGCTTCTTCTTTTTGAACGCTGTGTGGGAGTGGGTTTTTTTTTCTTTGCAATATAAATAGTTTTTTTTT